ATTTTATTCATAAGCTCATCTTTATTTGGTAATTTATAACTATCTTCATAAGTATTATCATTTAATCTCCTATAATTATACACTATTCTAGCTTTACCTCTCTTAACTTCTGAATGTTTTCTAACTACAAAGGCTGCTGATCTATGTCTAGATTTTGAAGGTCTAATTACTTTTAAGTTTAAAAGTTCTTTTATTTGTTGTTCAAATTCTTGCTTATCTAACAGGTTACAAGGCATATATGCTGTTTTAATTGTTAAGTCTAGATTAATAATGTCTAATTTTGCTAATATCTTATTCTTATTCCAATGTAATTGGGGATCTTCTCCTATAATTCTAGTTTGTTCAGCTAATTGTAACAATTCTTCTAAATTTTTTGGTCTGTCTATTTGCATAATTTCTAAAGGTTCTACGTTTCCTATAAGTGGATACTCATGATCAAATATTATGTCATCATATTCTAGATTATTTTGTTCATCTATTTTTTCTTTACTTATTTCTACTAATTCTTCCGTATTATATTTAAAATTTTGTTCTTCTATGTTAATACTATTGTAAGACTCTAACATATTACTTTGATCTGTTGTGGTTATACCTTTCTTACAAAATGTAATGTCTGGAGGTGTATATAAAAATCCTCCTTGTAAACTTTTTAAGAAATTTAATCCTAAGATAAAGGATCCTACTGGGGATATAAAGGTTAAGGGTAAATTAAACTGTTGTCTTTCTATCCTAATTGGTATATTATTAATACAATGTGTTAAGTATACAGGTCTTGTATCAAACTGTATGATTCTTACTGGTCTAGCTAATTTTTGCCTATATTGTTCTGGTACTAAAACTCTTCTTTTATTACATTTTTTGTGCTTCCTGTATCTATCATGGCTGTTGTTTGAATTTTATTTTCTTTTGATAATTCTAACTCACAATTAATTGTTATTAATGAACTAGTCTTTTGTTTCTCTATACTAGGGCAATTATTCTTTTGATTATCTATTTCAACTGTATTTATTTCTATTGGTCTATTATTAAAACAAGGTTTACAATAAACTATTGTCTTAGTGTAATATTTTTCTACCACTAATTTCTTACATTGATTACATTCTTGAGGCCATCCTAAATTAACATATTTAAATTCTTCATGCTCTGTTTGTTCTTCAAACATGCACATATGTTCATCTAATTCACTATCGGAATTACTAGAGTAATCTAATTCTGATTCTGAGTCTAAGGCATTAACACTATAAATACTTTCATTATCACTTAAATTGTTATCTATACTATAGATTGATTCTAAGTCCTCATCATCTTCTAATTGAAATTGTTCAATTAATTGTAATTTTCTCTAGGTTGTTTTCCTAATTTGGGACACTTAGGTCTAATATGTCCTACTTCACCACAAAGATAACATTTACATGTACTTTTATTAGGTACTTTATACTTTCTAATCCATGGTTTATTTGTTCTTTTCCTAAATTGCTTAGGGATATATTTTCTTCTTCTAAAAGTTTTTGAAGGTTGTATTCTAAAATTTTTATTTTGTTGTTTATAAGGTTTATATTTTCTATAGCTTTTTCTGTATGGCTTCTTCTGCCTAAATTTCCTATGACATCCATACTGTTTAGGTAAATCTATATTTTTACAACTCATGTAAAATTGTTTTCTAATTTGTCTTTTTGCTTTTATTTGACTACATTATGATCGTAATATATCATATACATGTTGTATTCTTGCACCTATGGATACATCTAATTTCCTAGGGTGCTTCTGCCATTCATTCCAAATTCTTTCTCCTATTGGGCCTTTAATTTTTGTCATATAAGTATCTAACAAATTAAGATCATCAATTCTACCTGTTCTTCCTAAATATTTGAAAAAGTCTGAAGTATATTCACTAATATATTGCAAATCACAAATTTGTAGTTGTTCTAAATTTCTTATGGCTCTAATTTGTTCTTGTTCATTTCTACCATCTAATCTATTATGGTCTAAAAATTCATATTTAATTAATTTAACAAAAGCATCTATATTAAACATTTCTTTTGCTGCTTGATGTTCTATTGGATTTTTAGTTTTCCATGCTTGAAAATAATCAAAAACCATTCCATCTAAAGTATGTTCAAAGTAATCTAACATATCTTTATTATTACTAAAATCTAACATTAATGTTGCATGTACACATCCTTTTTCTCATCTTTCTATAGTTTTTTCCCAATCCTGTGGGTCTACATGATCTAAATTTAATATATTTCCTGCTAAACTAATTTGTTCAATTCCTTTATAAGGGATTCTATTTTTTCTTATTCCAAATGCTTCTTGTTGAAAAGCATTTCTACCGGTTTCTTCATTATTTTCTCTATATGGTTCATTAGTTTGTCTAAGATTTTGTTGGTCTGTTCTACTTGCAGGGGTTACAGATGGTCCAGATGAACTATATTGGTCTTCTACTGGCATGCATTCTACTTCAATTAACATATTTTGGTATTCTTTTTCTCCTAAAATATGTTCTAATCCTATATTTAAAATTAAATCTTTCATTTCTTTATCTGATAATCTATGTAATCCTAACTCATAAGTTTTATATTTTGCTATATATTCTTCTTCATCTAAATTATCTATGTCATCTATGGTATTCTTTTTCTCCTAAAATATGTTCTAATCCTATATTTAAAATTAAATCTTTCATTTCTTTATCTGATAATCTATGTAATCCTAACTCATAAGTTTTATATTTTGCTATATATTCTTCTTCATCTAAATTATCTATGTCATCTATGAGTTTATCAACTATATTATCAAAATTATGCTCAATCATGTTTATTTCTAAGTTATCAAATGCCATATGTATCTCTTCATCTAATTCACTTTCTAAGTCATCTGTATCATTTATTTGTTTATAATTAGTAAATCTTACTACTGCTTCACCTATATGATTTTCAAAAATTTGTGCTTTATTAGGTTGTTTATTTTTTGCTACTTGTAAATTAGGTAAAATCCATTCTGTTCCTTCTAAAAAACTATTATCTATTGGTTTTGCCTCTATCATATTAACATGTGTACTACCAAAAGTTTGTACTAAATTTTGGAATTCTACATTAAATTTGTAATTATAAGTATCTGAAATTTTTCCTACATACATAAGACTGATGCTTAAATTTTTGTACTCACCTTTCATATTATAATTTTTTGTTCTTATGCTAATTTTAATGTGTTTACTAAATTCTCTAATATTCATGACATAATTAGGAATACATTCTATGACTGCTAAGTTTGTGCTAAGATCTACTTCTACTGTAGCTATAGCTGCTTGCTGATGGTTATCCCATCTGTCATCATATATGTATACTAGTGCTTTGGTTCCTACTTGTGCTCTAGTGAGTCCAGTTATTCCTATCATAATTGTTCCTATATGAATTTGTTGATAATGTGATTTTCTAAGGTGTTCTATTGCTGTGTTACTAAGTAAATTAAGAGTTACTTCTTTATCTATACAACTTACTTCATGTTGACTGATACTACTTACAATACTATGCCTATTTTCAAATCTTCCTAATTGATATAAATTATATTTATTTTTCTGAGATTTTTCAAAGCCTTTTCTAAGAAATTCTTGTGCTTCTTGTTCACTAGGGTATATATCTTCTGTTCTAACTATTTCTTTTCCTTTTCTTCTAAAGAGTTCCATTTACTATTATCAAATGGATTTATTCTATTTTTTCTTCTATGAGGATTATTTCCTAAAGTTAAATTTTCTAATTTATCAACTAAGTCTTTGGGTAGTATAGAAGTGGTATTGTGTACTACTTGATTAATTTATGTTATTTGTTCTTCTAATTGATCTACTTTTTCGGCTAAATTTAAAATTAATTGGATAATTAAATTATTTTGTCTAATAGGGATATTACTACTTACTACAGATGTTGTAAATTCTGTAAGACCTATTGGTTCCTTATCTAGTTGACCAACTTCTTCTAATGCTTTGATATATTTATTATTAATTTTAGAATATGTCATCAAACTAAAAGTCTATCTATTTTACTATGTAACTTTTCTACTTGTTCAGTTAATGTTTTTTGTACTAATTGTATTTTTTGCACTTCTAATTTTAATTGCTCTATAATTTCTAGTGACTGGAGTTCTATTTGTTTTGGCTTACTATCTATAAGATCTATGAGGTCTTTGATTTCTTTCTTATTAGGAAATCTTTGTATATTCCTATTATTATCTTCTAATTGAGATGTTATATAGTCTAAGTTTTGTCTAATTGTTTTTAAGGAATTTTTCTAAAAATATTCTAGTAACTGTTGAATTATTCTATTATTTTTGTTATGTTCAAATTTTACACTTTCTGCTTGACTAATCAAAAGGTCAATAATACTATTTTCTAAGGGATTACTACTACTATGTAAAAAATGTTTGTGTTCTTTTTGTGGAAAATAACAAACTAATGTATTATTATCTAGAGTTAATTTTTTCTTTTGTTGTTCATTGATTTCTAAATTGAGGTATTCTATCATAAAATCTATCTAAGTCTACCTTTTTCTTTTAAGATGCCTAAATGCTCCTGAAAAGCTTCTATTGATTCTTTACAGACTTCTAAATGGTACTGGTTTCTTGTTATGCTATTCTGGACTTCGAACTTTCTTCTAGGATAATTATCTACTTCTGGTGATCTTATTAATTCTTCTAGATTCCTAATTTCTTTTTGGTATTCTACTTTCCGTTTCTTTAATTCCTGCAACCTCTCTTTTATTCTAATAGATGTCCACCAAGGGCCAAACATGCAAACGGTTTACTGTTTTCTGGTACTTAACAAAATTTTAACAGATTATACAACATTGATTTTTATCAGTTGTGTTGACTGACTTTTGTCCTCAAGGTACTTTACTAGTATAACTATATTATTAAGGTGCTAAACTAAAGCTCTGATACCATTTTTCAAGCGGGGTCTCGGTCAAGGTTTTCTAAAGGCCAAAATAACAACCAGACACCATGCCTAGAACATGGAACTGCAAAGACGCCAACTTAAGGGCTATGGAGCAGAACTCAGAGGTCCTCTGAACTCAGAGGTTCCCTGACAGACATCCAATTATTGTTATGGCAAATATCAAACATGACCAAGTGCTCAAATACAGTATTGATCGTCAGTTTAGCAAGATAATAACATAATTATGAACAACGTTTCCCTGTTTTGGACAAGAAGTCTACTAAGAAAACCAAAAATAAAAGAGAAAAAGACTTACTTAATTGCTTATGTTGCTGGAACTACTGTTATCACCGGGTATAAACAATGGTCGGAGATATTGACAGTGATAGACGGTATTAACAGTGGTCGGATTATGTAAGTACAATGAATGGAAAAGAGAAAGTATATGAACAAAGGGAGTTTTATTGATTGAAGGAGGAAGTACTGAGATTTTTTCTTCTCTGGTGTTCTGTACTTCATTCTTCGGAGTTACAAACTATATACACAAATTACACCGACTTCTACCATGGTTAAGGATGAAAAGAAAAGAAGAAGCTAAGGATGAGAAGAAGAGTTCTTCTCTATCTGAAACTTTGTATCTCTCTTACTCTCTGAAGTTTCATATGAACTTCACATGCACACTCTATACAAGCCAACAGATTCACATGATTATTTCAAATTCAAATGTACAAACAAACAAAAGCTCTTAAAAGTATGTTCTGATATACTGTTGGTGCTGTTGCTGGAAAAAGGACAAGGCTTCACATGTTGCTTTGGTTTTGACGGAGGAGAGAGAGAGGCAAGGGATATGCATGTCTTTGGTGCTTAAGATAAGGGTTTTTCTGCAATTTTAGAAATATTTTGGGTGTTTTTGAGAGCTGGCTGCTTCTTTTGGGTTTTTTCCTAAATTTCGCTTTATATTTTAACTTGTTACCATGGTGATCAGCTCAATGTTGGAAGACTGACACCAATTCAAATAAGACAGCAGAATTTGCAACCTCTAAACTGTCTGGCTTTAATATTTTGGTAATCCATAAGCTGGGCTGCCCTTTGGTAAAGAATAATTCTAGATAGTGGCGGTTTCAGGATTATTAGCACAAGAGGGCATGGTGTAAAAGTGGAGGCACAGGCACAGCACAGAGGCAACCCTTAGACGACACCCGGGGACAAAAGTAAAAACCAAAGGGACAAATGTGGCCAAATTGAAACCACAATGACCTTTTTACCTTTTTTGTGGTAAAAGTGATAAACCACATGAATCAAAAGTGACTTTTTGCCTTATTTATTTATTTATTAATCCTAGCTCATATAACAAAAAAAAAAAAAAAAAAAAAAAAAAAAAAAAAAAAAAAACCTAAGTTAAAATAAATAAAATTGTTGTTGTGGCAGGATTATTTAAGAAAAAATTGATTGGGCCAAAACGATGTCATTTTATCCAATATTTTTTAAAAAAAAAAGAAAAAAAAGAGAAGCACGCAGCTGCTGAATAGGTGGTGCCTTCAAAGGGTAGCACTAGCTACAAAACTCGACCTCCACAACCATTTTCATGGTTTACAAGGGGTCACTTGACCGAGGAAGCTATAATGAGGAGTTTAAAGTGAGGAGGCTATTTGATAGTGTCAATCTCACCATCAACAAATGTAAAGAAATTACGGGAAACATTTTAAATATTTTGATAGTTTAATTGGCCTCCTTAAATAGTCTTCTCGCTTTAGGCCCAGTTTGGGATTGCTGTCACTTTTAAAAAAAGTTGCTACTGCTGTGCTTTGAAAATAATTAGCTGTAAAGTAAAGCAGCTCCGTGTTTGGTAAACAATATTTTTAAAGTGCTGTTAGTACAAAAAGCAGTGTCAAAACCGTTTGGTAAGTTTTAATATAAAATTGTTGTAATTGTGAATAATGACTAAAATAGACATGATGTTAAAAGTGTTATGTACTAATCATGTGGTAGTAGTGGTAGTGATGGAGAGGAGGTGGTGTTGGTAGGAATGGCGCTTGTGGAGGTGATGGTGGTGACAGCATAGTGGTAGTGGCGGATCTGTGCAGGCGCAAGGAGGTGCACCTGCACCTCCGCTCGCCGGAAAACTCCATAAGAGATGCTGGAGTTGCACCTCTGCTCAGACTAGAGACGCACGCAAGGTGTTCGATGAAATGTGCAAATGGCCTAGGTGTTGTGCTGCTGGTGCTGCAAGCTGCGCTGAGCGCGCGCTTCTTTTTTTGTTTATAACAAAGCCTGGCCAAAACGATGTCGTTTTGCACCGGGTAAATAAAAAAAAAAAAAAAACAAAAAGAAATTATATGGACATGGGTTGATAATTTTGATTTGTACGAAGACAGAGATGAATCTTTCTGTTTTGCAATCAATCTACGATCTTGTAATCTGCCAGATTTCCCTCCTCCCCTTTTGGGGCTAGGCAGTTAGCTATCTCTTCTGTATATGTAGTGTATCCGAGTATCTGATTTTACTAAAATCCAAGATTTAGGATCTTTGTCAAATATGGTGGTCACTCCATTTGTATTAGTTTCTTGTAAACATAAAGATCTTGGTGACCCCGTGGCCGGCACCAGCCAACCAACATGGTAGAATTTGATAGACATATGGCAATACTACCTCTCCTCAACATCCCCTACTGTTGTGATTATCTTTTTATGCTAAGTTTTTTGTGATGCTCACTCCTAATTACTTATATAGAGTACGTTAAAAATGAACTGTTGGTGTTGATGATGATAGAGATAAATTGCACCTCCGCTGAAAAATTCTTGGGTCCGCCGCTGCATGGTGGTGGAGGTGGCAGCATGGTGGTGGTGGTGGTGTTGGTTGTGGAGGTGGTGGTGGATGTGGAAGTTTTGAAGGAGGTGGTGGTTGTGGTGGTTGTGGTGGTAGTGGTGATGGTGGTGGTTGTTGTGGTGGAGGTGGAGGTGAAGGTGGAGTTGGTGGTGGTGGTGGTGGTGGTGGTGGAGTTGGTGGTGGTGGAGGAGGTGGTGGTGGTGGTGGTGGCGGTGGCGATGGCGGTGGTTGTGGAGGTAGTGAATGTGGTGGTGTAAGTGGTGGAGTTGGATGTGGAAGTGGAGTTGGTGTTATTTTTTAAAATGAATGATGGTATTTTGGGAATTAAAAAAATTCATTAAAGGTTCATCTTTGCTTCTTTTGAAAGCAGCTTTGAAAAGCAACCCATAGTCTGCTTTTAAAAGCTGCTGTAAAAAGGCCACTGCTTTTAAAATAATCGAGATATTTTATTTTTACCAAACACCTAAAACTGCTTAACTTTAAAGTAAAGCAGGTTTTTGGCGAAAAAAAGCAATCCCAAATGGCGCCTTAAACTCCTCATTATAGCCTCTCCCATCGTTTGACCCCATGATGAATCTGATTATAGGGGGGCCACATTTTTAACAGTCAATTTTTTCATCTGGTGTGGACTCTAGTGGGGCTTTTGATCCTTAAAGGATGCTGTTGCATCTGTATTTTTGTTATTTTTGGGCTACAACCACATAACAATATAGATTGGTCTTAATTTTTTTATTGGGTTAAAACTAAAAATTGTGGGCCGGACTTTTAACTCAAATCTTCATAAAATATAGTCGGAAAATTAATATTTTCCAAATTCTACAAATGATTTCATTTAGTCAGATTTTATTTTCAGTCACATATTGATTTTATTTTTTGTCATTTAAAAAAAAAGAAAAAGAAACACACGCAAAATAGAAAAAGACGTGAAGAAAATGAAATCTCGAAAAAAGTGAGGGTATCAAAATTCAGACAAAAGGCTGGAATTATTATTTTATAATTCAGCACATAATAATTCCAGCCTTGAGCAAAATAAAATAAAATAAAATCCAGCAGGAAAAAAAAACACCAAAATAAAATAAAATAAAAGAGGGAAATAACTAGATAAACCCTAGTGGCTACTACTGTGGCCGAACAAAAGCCCTAACGTGAGGTAGAGGAAGGTGATCTGAGTCTGAGCAAGGTGTGCTATCAATCAATAGATCAATTGGGAAAATGGGGGGCAATGATAAGAGGAAGCGAAGCGAAAGTGAAGGAGGAGATGAACAACCAATGGAGAAGAAGAGGGAGATTCTGCCGTCGATGATAAAGAACAAGGAGAAGAGGTCGGCGATCCACGCCAAGCTCAAGCAACAGAAGAAACTCGAGAAGCGCAAGAAGGCCAAAGCTCGCGACGCCGCCGAGAAGCGCGCTCTCGAGCTCGGCGAGGAGGTAATTTTGAATTTTGAATTGGTATTTTAATGATTGATTTTTAGTTTTGGTTTATTTAGCTAAATGCTGTTGCTAATTGCACTCTGTAGCTTCCGGCGAAGAAGATCCCTAAGACGATTGAGAACACCAGGGAATTCGATGAGACTGTTTGTAAGCCCGACGACGAAGAGGTTTCTCTCTCTTGCTTGGTTTTTTGCTTGTCTTTTATTGCCTTGCAATGTAGCAAATCTGAAAGTGATGTTCTTTATGCCTCAAAAATAAAATGATGGTTTGTTTAATTTCAGCTTTTTGTATTGTGTTCAATTGCAGCTGTTTGCTGGAAATGATGCCGATGAATTTAGTTCGATTTTAAAGCGCGAAAGGACTCCAAAAATATTAATCACTACTTGCCGTTTCCATTCTTCTGTATGTACTGTCCTCCATGCCCGCTTTTTTGCTAATTTGTGTAGGTTATCTTTGGTTTATGGTTTTTCTGTTTTGGGTTTGCAGAGGGGGCCTGATTTAATAAAGGAACTACTTTCAGTGATCCCAAATGCACACTACTATAAACGAGGAACGTATGACTTGAAAAAGGTGCTTTCTTCCTAAAAAATTTCCCCTTTCAAATATAAAATACATGAAATTCGAGCAATTTATATATGTATGTTTCTATCTTTTGCAGATTGTAGAATTTGCAAATAAGAAGGACTTCACATCTATAATTGTTGTTCACACCAATCGCAGGGAACCAGGTTGGTCCTATCTCATTCTGGAGGTTTCTATAGAATCTTGCTGTCAATATTTACTCTCACAGGCTTTTATTCTGATGATAAACTTTTAGGTTGTTGGTGAAGTCACTGAAGTGTTATCTTCCGCTTCTCTTGTTTTGTTGTGAATTTATCTAACTGTCAGCTATTGTAATAATTTTGTAGATGCTTTCGTAATAATTGGCTTACCTACTGGACCTACTGCCCATTTCAAGCTCTCAAATCTTGTTTTACGCAAGGATATCAAGGTTGGTCACATTCCCTTTTTTGTATTAAGACAAAACTAGTGGTTGACACTGTTGTTACACATACTGCACTGAAGGGTGTTTAACTTATCTTTTTTCACCAATGGAGAGTAAAAAGTGGATACATATTAGAAACTTGTAAACACTTGAACAGTACATCCTACAGTCTGTCTAGTCTCCTTGGATTTTCATTCAACTGCACTATTAAATAGTTGTTTTGTTCTTATTCTTTATTTGAAATACCTGCAGAATCATGGAAATCCAACCAGTCATGAGCCTGAGCTTGTATTAAACAATTTTACAACACGCCTTGGTCATCGTATTGGAAGGTTGGGTTCTTTATCTTGTTTAAAACGTTCTCCCAAACTATATGCAATGCATTTTAGTACTTTTAGGTTGGCGCACACCTCATCATATGTGGTCTAAATTGAAATGAGTGCACCATTCTATTCTATTTTTCCCCCTGTACAATTAGCTTTAATAGCTGTTTGATATCTAAATAAGAATGGTATTAATCCACCTCTCCCTTTCTAATGGTTTTAATTGTTGATCCGTTTTCTTCAGATCAATACAGTCACTTTTCCCACAAGAACCAAACTTTCCTGGTCGGCGAGTTGTAACTTTCCACAACCAGCGAGATTTTATATTCTTCCGGCATCATCGGTGTGCTTCTTTGGCATTTTTAAGTTGTTGCAAATGAGAAAATATTTTACTATTTATTTTTTTCTATAGCTTCTCTTTTGCTAATGAATACATTGCATTACCATGTGTTCAGGTATATTTTTGAAGCCAAAGAGACTAAACAGACTGAGTCAAAAGGTAAAAAGACCAAGGATGCCAAGGGTGAGAGTGAACCTCAAGGGAAAGTGATTGCCCGTCTTCAGGTTGGTGCCAATCAGTTTATCTTTTCTTCCCTCTCACTTCTTTTTATACATCTTGATCTGTTTGGCCCAGGCCTCACTCCACTACTTGGAAATATCTTTATGCTTTGTTGGTCCTTCACTGTGGTGTGGTTCACAAATGGAAATAGGAAGCGGAGTACTGACACATGGCCTTCATAGGATGCAGTTTACTAGGATGAAATCATGGATTTAAAAGTTGTCTTTATACACTCTCAGAAACAGTTATAAATGCACCTTGGCAAAAACATATATGGTTTGTCATAACACTGTTTCCATCTTAAACACACAGGAGTGTGGCCCTCGTTTCACCCTTAAACTACTCAGTCTGCAGCATGGGACCTTTGATACTAAAGGCGGGGAATATGAGTGGGTTCACAAGGTAGTCCACTTATCAATCAATTTGTTTCAGTATATTGACTTCATATTTTTTATCTTAAGCAAGTATTCGATAATATCTCTTACTCATAGTTGGCTGTATATTTTTCTCCTACTCATTTGATTTACAGCCGGAAATGGACACTAGCAGGAGGAGGTTTTTTTTGTGACTTGCTTTGGAATATTGCTCGAGTTTATCATTGCTGGAGTGCAATCTCTGTTTAACAGTTGCTACCCCGTGGCCAGTAGTAAATCAGCCCGGAACATTTTTTGTATTTTAAGATCAATTTTGTGCTGCTCAATTCCTATTACTCGCGGTAAATTCTGTATCAAATGTTGGAAAAAGATTAGTAATTGGTGGAAACTCATATTTCTTCTCATCATTTTCTCATTTCTACCTTGCTTGTGTTGCAAACAACTGCTGTCCTACTTTTATACACAGAATGTAGTTGTGTGATGTGAGTGCATGCTTCTCTGATTACATAAAGGCAAATCAAAACAAATATACCTCCAAAAGCAGCAACTCGCAACACCAATCTCTCTGGTGGGGTGTTTGTGGTTAGATAAGCACAATCTATGATTATCAAAATCCAGCTTGAACTCCCGAGCAAAGACCTAATCAGTATGAACTTTCCTCTTTTTGTTCCCCCAAGCCGGCATATAATCCTCCAACACAGGGTGCCCACAACCAAAAAAGTGGTCAATGACCATCCCCTGTAGGATATTAATGTTCCTCCCACAATCAAAACCTCTTTACGACACACACAAGATGCACACTCACCTGAAAAAGTTGATGAGACTAGAGCGTCAAAACCAGTATAGTAGGGTAAGATGACAGAATCCAAGTATATGCTTGCATGCAAAATTCCAGAGACGGTTGATGTCTCAAAAAGCACATACTTGATGTCTGTTTCTGCTCCATTGTCGAAGGTTAGAGCAGATACCAGAACCAGCAGGAGGATTGCTGGACCGGTGCATGAGAGAGGAAAAGCAGAGTTTATCCGGTGGCCCTTGGCTAAGGCCAAGATGATCAGTGGAAGAGCAATTGGACCGGAAGGTAGCAAGTATCTTTTTGACTGACTAAAACTTTGACCTCTACCCGATATGTGCATCACCATAAAGACCAGGGTTGCCAAGTATGAAGCTGCTGCAAAGAAAAGAAGCAGAAAATCCACAGCAGGAGAGTAGTTTCCTGGGTAAACACTGTCACAGAAGTAGTGGTAAGGGCAATTGATCGGATCCAAGGTTTCCTCCACCTGCCATCTTGTACATTTGAGAAATGTCAACCGGATATCTTCCACGGTCCATTCGGGTTGCCATGCCGCATATTCGGGTCGTAAGACGTTCCAATTCATTGCAGTTTTAGTTGAAACTGTGTTTCTTCCTGCGCCCCTTTGTTTCACAAACAAACATCTATATATATATATGTGTATATATCTCCCAGGACATGATTGTTGGGTTTTGCTATAAAAAATTAAAACTTGGCGTATTTGTTAGTTGAGATGTTTCTTCTAAAGGTGAACCGGATGAAGAAAGATCAACCAACTATTCTTGTGTTTCCTCATCCGTACATGACCATTGGGTTTATTTTATTGCAAGGGAAACCATTTATATTAAGAAAAATGTAGCCCGAGGTTACTTTTCATAAATGGTGTTGCTATAGCCAGCGGGGTCTAGCCCAGTGAAAAAAGGTTTTGACTTGCAATCTAGTGGTCTTAGGTTTGAATTTACATGGCACCTTGGTAACGTGTGTGTGAGAAACCTCCTCCCTTTGTAGTTTAGATTATCGCTTGTATTTAAAAAAAAAAAAAAAAAAAAATAGTTGTTATTAGTTGACAACTCAAGCTTTCTCCAATGCGATTTGCTTTAGAAATACCATATTGGGATTTTATTTTCTTGGTACGTTTTGATAGGATTGAACTAATAATATATCATAATCCTATTCTTTTTCTGCCCCCTCTTCAACCATCGACTTATATTGTTAAGAAAAATCATCAACTTATTATGTAGTGATTTTTTTATAGTTACTAAAGAAAAGTAAGTACACAAAAAAAAGTTTGCGATTGATAGAAAATGGCCTCAAAATTGAAGATATATTTTGTAATGAATTGAGTGGCAAGGTCAAGTGGGTGTGTAGGTAAAATCGAGCAGGAATAAGGGAGGGTGACTGGTTGAGGGAACTTGCTTCCAAAGGAAATATGCCTGTTGGGTTTGGTAGGTGATTGCAAATTGGCAACTAAATATTGGTGATGGATTAGCAAAGTAGTAGGAGGGGGGAGTGTTTTTTTTTTTTTTTTTTTTTTTTTTGTTTATTTTTTTGTTCAAAAGAGTTTTAAAACACAAAGTTAATCAGAATTTGAACCCCAGCTGAGTCTATAAATATATAGAAAAGAGGGTGACGGTGCGTATTTGTTAAGATGTTGACGAATACTACTATGGAATAGTTTATAACAAGCTTTGGTGGTGAAGGCCTGCAACTTTTGTGAATTATATTTATATCAGCTTTGGATATGATCTAAGAAATTTCAGTTCTATATTGTTATTATTAAACAAAATTAGTGAAATACCTATTCCTAGACATGAAACTATAAATATACCCGATACCGTTTAATCTTTATAAACATATCCAAAAATAAACAATTGTATATTTTTAAATTTAATTAATAAGATGAAATACCTTTAGGCCATCTCCAACCTAAGGACTTAAACCCAAAATATTGCCCAAATCCTCTCCTAACCCAAGAAAATGAAGGACCCAAAATTTGGGAAAACCCAAATTTGGACCCAAATATAGGTCCAAGTATTGCATGGACCCAACACTATTCAATGGAGCCCACTACACCTAAAACAGCCCGATATGCACAAAATCTGACGTGGGCCCCAGCTGACTTGCTGTGCTGTTTAAGTTTGTTTGCACAAAACCATTCCCTAAGGTTTGAAGCAAGCCCCTCTCCTCCTTCAAACCCTCATATCTCCTCTGTTCTCTCCCTTCTTCCCTTTCTCTGCCTTCAAAGTAAACCAAGCAGTCTCAAAGCCATGGACCAACACAAGACCAACGAAAATCCTCCCTCATCACACCGACGATAATCTCCGTTACGTTGGTGGGCTCACATGTGTTCTCGTAGGCAATGCCTCCATTTCCTTTGCAGATTTGTTCCATTTGCTTCAATTTGTTAATTTCCTTTTTATTTTTGCTCAATTTACTTGAATTTCGACTCGATTTCAGTTTCTTTGTTAAATTTGGTGATAATTTCCATTTTTTTATATATGAATAGAGCTAATGGTTAAGCTCGCGGAATTCGGTGGCTGCTCTGTAGATTTGAGGTGTTAATTACCGGATGAAGGTGTTCAAAACGCCGGTGGTGATTGCGAGAAGAACAAAGATGAAGATGAATTCTCTTTCACACCTAACGAATCGCCGATTTCCACCAATGATATTTTCCAAAATGGCCAGATCTGTCCGGTGTTCTCGATTTTCAACCGGGATCTCCTGTTCTCCAATGTCAACGACGACGAAGCTTCTAGAGCCAGAGGGGCTGCCGTTTCGTCTTCCTATCTGCGACCGCCATTGAAGAAGCTTCTCTTTAAAGAGCGGGATACACCAACCTCGACAACGTCGTTTTACAACTCAGGAGGTAGACTCGGGTCATGATCCATGAGATCAACCAGCTTCTGAGTTTGATCATCAACACCTTCTACAACAACAAGGAAATCTTTCTCCTTGAGAAAGGGGATTCCCCCCCTTATCTTACATCACTTAGCATAATGAATCTCAAGATTTGTAAGCCACATCCCTTACATATGGATTGGAGGCCGGAAGATAACAATACCTTGATTAAGTAATACAAGAGAGCAGTTGGAAGCTAAGAATACATGCCTCTCATTCTCGTGCCCCCTCTCAAGGTCTTTCCATTTGAGACAACATAAATAATGTCATTTGCTTTAATTGCATATCTATTTAATACAGTTGTGTGAACTAATTGTGTCTTATGCTCTTAGTTTATGAAGGATGAAGAAAGCCAAGGGACAATATGATGCAGCACCTTGTCAACCATGAACTTAAGCCTGACACTAATAGTAAGCTTCGTCAATTATCTATGAGATGCTCTGCTACTTGTTTTTTGTTTGGTATGCGGTGTATTGTTCAACATCTTATTGAATGATAAGTTAACTTCAGTTGATTTTGTTTTGATTTACATCTCTATGCAATTTTGATGTTGTAACGCCTCTGATGTACATATTTTCACCGTTTATTCTTTTGTTGATTAATCATTTCAGTATTTTCTAGTGTTTATTGTTTGAATAGTTGTGTTTTCTGTTTGATTTCATTTTGGTCTTTTGTTATTTTGGTGAAGATAGAAATTATCATTTTGAACTCATTCTAAGTGTTCCATGTGATTGAATTTATTCATTTTTATGTGCTTTGATGTGACATTTGCAACAAGCCAATTTTGGCATTTTGGGTGATTGTGGGTCTAATATATGACTCTTGTAAATTGCAACATGTTGGTAAGTTGATTTGTAGTATACAATTTGTTATCTGTAAGTGGTATGAAGTATGAACAGTTGTTAACTTCCAGTACGTGGAATGAACAGCTATTATACTGTTCATACCTTGAACCTGAGTTGATTTATATGACATAGTACTAACAATGTACTACTATGACATAGTATTAATAGATTTTCAGTAACAAAACATGCTCTATATTTTGCTCTATATATAGATGTGCACTTGAAGTTTATGATATGTAAAATTTGATTTTTACTAGGAAGATAGTTTTATGACATAGTATTAACAATGTACTTCTGTGATATAGTATTAACAGTGTACTTTTTTTTTCCCTTGTAGAAGTATTTCCCTTTTGCCTTTGAGATTGTATCTGGTAAAACTGTGGACAATTGGAGGTGGCTGCAAAAGATATCAGACGTCTTGCTTGGATTTTTTGAGTTTTTTTGAGTTTTTTGTATGAAATGGTATTAACAATGTTTTCTAATTGTATTGACAATGTACTTCTATGACATGGTATTAACAACGTACTTTTATGACATGGTATTAACAATGTACCTCTATGACATGTTATTAACAATATACTTTTATGACATTGTATTAATAATATATTTTATGACATGATATTAACAATGTACTTTTATGACGTGGTATTAACAATGTATTTCTATAACATGATTTGCGGAGGTTTGATGGAGAATGAAGGGTCGTGGGGACAGGCTCTTGATTTTCGTGATTTTTTATTTTATTTTTTAAGTTTGGATTTTTTTTCAAAAATATATGGGATGGGCTTGCTGGGCTTGTTTTGAGTTTTTTTGGGAATTTTGTATTGGACTTGTTTTAAGTTAATCAATGGCAAATATGTAATTTATAGGAACTTTAATACTAATTTCATGTAGTAAATTGTTTTTGGATATGTTTCTAAAGTGCATTTAATGTTGGGTTTTTTTATATAATTTCAGCCCCTATTTTGGGTATATTACTAAAGCTCCCTTATTATTATTATCACTCACTAGCATGGGCGGAACCAAGGCAAAGGCTACCCTTGGCTGTAGCCCAGGGAAGGTTTGGAAAAAAATAAAAATAAATCTACATATAGCATAATATTTTAACTAAAAATAAATAAATATATATATATATATATATACAGTTTCAACACCACTAGGCATAGTAAGAGGTCTTCCACATTTGTATTTGGGGTCAAAGTTTGTCCCAACATCAATTTTAAAATTTTTCTATTAATTTGTCTCCAAAAGAGAAGGATTTTACTATAGATAAGTTTAAAAAAAAAAATTATCATTAGATTTTAAGCTAATAACTTTAGCTAGCCCACTCATTGAAAAATTTCTGATTCCGCCCTTGCTCACTAGTATATATGTGCTATATTAGAAAAACCTTAAGTTCAAAGTTCGTAATCTGGCCTTTATGCTTGAATTACCGACTATTTGATAGTCTAGTGATACTTCTCGTTTTAATGTTAGAAGAGATTACAAGTTCGGGTGTTCTTAGAGCATCTCCAAGGGAGATGTCAAATACCAAACATCAAATTTAAATTTGATGGCTGATGTGGCAATTTGACATTTACACAATTTTACACTTCACCCGATATGTCAAAGAAATAATTATTGTAACAGTCAAATCATTTAAGATAAAGAAAAAAAATATATATAAAGGAAAATAATAAATGAAAGTAACAACCAACTATGTTTAAAAATAATAAAATATTCATTTGACATCTTGCTTTTGGGATGTCAAAAATAACATCTCAACCTCCAGTCTTCATTCCACATCAGCTTTGACACATCGGTTGGAGTGATGTGAGATGTTATTTCTAGCCGTTAAATGTCTATGTGGCACTTTTGACACATCGGTCGGAGATGCTCTTACTAATGAGCAATGAGACTATGATTTATGGACTATAGAGTGATCCTATTGGCCAACTATAGAGCACACAGATTTGATGTAGAATATAGAGTGATCCTTTAGAACACAATATAAGTCGATGATTGAATCCTATCTTAATCCTATCTTCTTTTTTCCTTCTCTCGTTATGGCAACTTGGCAAGAAAAAAATCTCAGTTCTCCCATTCGTTGTACAAAGATTGCCGCTGTGCAAAATGTGACGTCTGGCTTAGTCCTTGGGAGGAGATGTTATGATAGTAATGCAAGTGGTTAAAGTTTTAAGCAAATCCATTTGACAAAGAAAAAGATTGAAAGAAAGGTGACCGCCCGACAAACAGACAGGCACCACGGACACGCTTTCTTCTCGACTTTTGCGCGTTCACTCTTCTTTATGTAGATCCGTACACATAAAGATGCATTTTTTTAAGCTTTCGGTACAAAGATTTCTGTGACACTGAACGATATATATTTGTTGCTTGTGCCCCACTCATGGAGAAAAACTTTCCTGGCACGGGGATGCCAGGTAAGTAATCGACCTAAGTATCCCGATCCAATGAGCTTTTGACAGCTGTTAGAAAATAAAACTTGAGTTTAAAAAAAAAGAAAAGAAATTGAAGCCTGTTGCTCCTCCATCCTCCACCTACTCTGCAACTTCACTTTAACACTCACCCAGAATAAAAAATCGACAGACAAACATCTAAGTCTTCTCTTCCAGACCGCTGCTCCGCGCCACATCCACCAACGTCGGCGACAAAGTCCACACTGCCATCATTCATCCTCTGCGTCCCTATCCCTCCTTCATGCTCCATCGTTGTTGGCTTCGTCTCCCTCTTCTCGTCGGCTCTCTCATCCTCACCTCTCTCTCTCTCTCTCAGGCCAACAACAGTGAGCGAGACGACCTTGCCAGCCTCCAAATTTGAGGTGGCTGACTTCAGATTTAGAGGCCAATATCTCCCTCTCTTTCTATCAACCTTTGATTTGGCTGATGCAAATAGAGAGAAAGAGAGGGAGGGAGGAAAGAAGAGAGAGAAAAAGAGAGGGAGGGATGAGTGAGAAAAAGAGGGGGTTTGATTTCAGGAAAAAAAAAGAAAAAAAAGGGTTTGAGTTGCAGAGTACGCGGAGGATGAAGGAGCAAGAGGCGACAAATTTTTTTTCCCCAATTTTTTGTGGGTAACAGCTGTCAAGAGCTCATTGGATGGGGATACTTAGGTGGATTTCGTACCTGGCATCCCCGTGCCAGGAAAGTTTTTCTCCCACTCATGGGTTCGATTCAATGCCATGCGACAACTTGATACGCAAAGTAATTGTAATTTCCCACTGGTGTTGAAGTCCAACAGTTCTCGTGGACATGATATTTGTAATTTTTTATATAAATTTATATTAGTGGTAACTGATAATTGAGTGTCACGTGTAAATTTTTCGACTTGAGATTGTGGGTTTACTCTAACGTTGGTAATGACAGTAACTAATTTCTCTCTAAACTTTTCTTTATTAATTTTTTTTTGGTAATTGAAATTATTTAACACATTTATTAATGTATCCGAAATTTTAGGTTGGATTCCCATTATTGCTTGTGTCTATCAAAAAGACACACAATGGTCCAATTGCTAATTGGGATTTTTGGTTACACAGTCACACTTGCGTCAGAAATTCTCAGAATGAGTAAGCTGGGATCCATTGTTCAAGCAAAAGTAAATGCTAGTTAATGTTGGAGTATGGTACAAATATTGTAAAGCAAATGGTTGTTTTCATTATATAAAGTGATAACATTGAGGAATGGTTTATAATAAGATTGCAATTATTTTACAGCACAATGTCTAGCTGTACAGCCTCCGCGTAATCTTGTTTAAAGATAGAAGCAGAATATTCGGTTTTGGCCCCCACCACCGCCGCTGGTTTCATTTCTATCCTCAACACGGACGACAAAACCATCGAACTTTATTCATCACCCGTCTGCTATAAGTAACGCAGTACATGGTAACCTAGCGCACTGCTTTTCAATCTCAGACTGCAACTACAAACTTAGGAAAGATTGGAATTTGGAAGCAAACCCATCGCTCGCTTTTGTAATCTTGTTTAAAATCTACTCCAAATTTAGCAACTTTTGCATCAACAACAGTGACAGTGGCAAGGATTTTTGAACATGGTATGTCAATGTTAAACCTCTCTCTCTCTCTCTCTCTCTCTCTCTCTCTCTCTCTAGCTAGATTGGATTTGGTTTCCAGGAAAGTTATTGGGTACTGAAAATTTGAGAATTTCAGGTTGCGGATTCTAGTGCTGCGAAGCTCAATCTTAGAGAAAGTGAGAGCCTTTTAAGAAGCTATAGTAGCGGCTGTGTATCAGTTTCGTCAATGACAGAGCCAAATCCAGAGACTTTGACAGGGTCTTGCTTAGTTTCGTGCACCACATTCAATATTTTGGCTCCCATTTACAAAAGACTCGATCAACAGGTCTTATTCTATCCCATTTTTGCTTATAATTCTGCCAAGTTTCTTACTTTATTTGATTTTGTATACTCAATTTCTTTGTGGTGTGTGTGAGACAGAATCAAGGTCTTCGTGAGAGCGAGTTCAGAGCATTCTGGGTGGCCAGGAACCAGAGGATTTTGGATTGGTTGCTCTATGAATCTTCTGCAATTATATGTCTCCAGGTGATACTTGCGAACCCTTTTGCTTTTGTTTGCTGAATTTCTGTCTCGACTTGTATCTGTGAACAAAGTGAACTTCTTTAAGGTTTAAAGGGCATGGCCCTTTCAGACTGTATGTGCTGACTATCCCCGCTTTGCAAAATTAGGAGTTTTGGGTTGGAAATGAAGAATTTGTGAATATGTACCTGGAGGGGCTTGGGGATGCAGGCTATAGTACCTTCAAGCTTGCGCGAACGAACAACCGTGGAGATGGTATATTTCTATCTTTAATCGATCCCTTAATGTCAGTTTTAACACATTGGACTCATCTGACATCTTTCAATTTTAGTTAAATCTCATTATCTCATTGTTTCATAGGTAAAATTCGTGATTGTGTTCATATTCGTATGTTAATCCCAACTTTAATATTAGACAGATGCTGAATAACTTGAAAGTTCTGACAAAATTTTTACATTTTTCTGCACGCATTTAGTTCAATGTGATGGATTCAACATTCATGTTTCGTGCATCTGCGAGCTTTTTCACAACACTTTCCGTTTGGATTGGGTTTTTCCTTCATATGTTTTTTCCCCAGCACTATTTTCTCCCATACCCCTCTATTTTGTCAAAATTCAAAGATATAGGAGTTATTCTGCCATTGGTTCGCTATAAATATCAGCTGGATTTTATCTTTAGCCTAGCAATTCCAAAGGAGTTGTGCCTTACTTGCAGACTTGTCTTCAAGTTTAGTATCAGTTATATGGGTCTTCTAATATTACTGTTATCAAATTTGTTTATAGCTCAGAAATAATGTCATGATTGAAATGAACGTTTTAAAGTACTACTCCTTGTTCTATGGCTTGACTTATTGTATCTTCTCTATACAGGTTTGCTCACTGCTGTGCGAAGAGACTGCTTTAGGGTTCTAAACTATCGAGAGTTGCACTTTAATGATTTTGGAGACCGTGTTGCTCAGTTGTTACATGTTCAGTTAGTTGCCCCCTTTTCACAAAATCAGAAAGGCAATGTTCAGCAAGAAATGCTAATTATGAATACGCACTTGTTATTTCCTCACGATTCCAGTCTTTCCATAGTAAGATTGCATCAGGTATTCAAAATTTCCATGAAGTTCAACTTTTGTGCATATCATGCTGTATAGCTGCATTAGGAATCACACTAACCTTCATATCTTGTAACTTTTGAATAGGTTTACAAAATTTTGCAATTTGTGGAATCTTATCAGAATGAAAACCAACTAAACCCCATGCCCATCATACTCTGTGGGTGAGTCTCCTGTCTTGTCTTTCTTAGTTAATTAATGTTCCATGACAAAAGATTTCTTAGTTAATGAAATGGGGTTATCTCTGGTTGTATTCTTTTGAGTAGAATGCTCATTCTTATATTTGTATTCTTTTGCGTAATGCTCGCTGCAGTGACTGGAATGGAAGTAAGCGTGGCCATGTGTACAAATTCCTTAGATCTCAGGGGTTTGTATCAACATATGATACTGCTCATCAATATACTGATGCAGATGCTCACAAGGTAGGTGGTTTTTGGATTTCAATTTTTAAGTCAGTGATTTACTTGGCTGCCGCAATGCTCATCATTTGTATTAACTGAATATTTGTATTTTATATCCTACAGTGGGTTAGCCACCGCAATCATAGGGGAAACATCTGTGGTGTCGACTTCATTTGGCTTTGTAATCCCAATAAGTCACGTAAACCACTAAAGACTAGTTGGTGTGAAGCTGTTCTTGGTATATTAAGGGTGAGCAATTCATTGACCATTTTCTATATTAGTTCCTTTAAAATCATCCATTCACCTTTTCTCTACCTACTTCTAATTCCTTGCCACAAAAAGGAGAGAACTCATAGTTCATGTCAGATATGTAGTGCATATAAGCTCTGTTTGAAAAACTTCCAAAATGATGCATTCTATATTATAGTGCATGCAAGCTCTGGTTAATTGTGTAGACAGTTTCCACATCCTGTGCTGATTATCTTTTTCTTTTTTTCCTTGTGGGGTTTCCAGCGCCAGCTCCGAAAAGCTTCAATGGCTGAGAATGATGCATTTGCCTTTTTGAAGGGTGATAGCAGTGGTGATTTTATTACATCCTCAGCTTTCTGTGAAGCACTCCATCAGGTTCGTTCTATTAGCCAATAAACTAAATAAAGTTCAAATGGAAAGATAAGACTTTCTCATATAGGCAGTTTGCAGGTTAATTTAATTGGTCAACCTTCGGGACTGGGTTTCCAGGAGACAAGGAATCTCTGGATCCAAGCAGATGTTGATGCAAACGGTGTTCTTGATTATGAAGAATTTAAGGTACCTTGCATGCATAAATTGTGGGATATTGTTTTCATATATTTTCAGTTTTGAACTTGCATTCATTGCCCTTATGTAATAGTCATTCCAAAGTATTATTATTGACACCTTGTTGTGCCTAAAACGATTGACATTGCAGAATAGGATCTGGATATCTACAGTGTCAGAGGAAAAGGAAAACCTTAATGGAAGTAGAGAGGAGTCCATACGAGGCACACAGGACGCCCTTGGATTCAACGTGAAGAATGCAGTTCTGTACCCCCGTGAGGCGGAAAAGGGAATATGGCCTGAAGATTATACTCTTTCTGATCATGCCCGACTCTCCGTCGTACTCTCACCAGAAAGGATGTGGTGTTCTCAGTTATAAACCATACTTAAATTGTTGATAAACATATAGTAGAGCAGAGAGGAAAATTGCATATCTGTAGGGAATGTGTATAGCCAACAGAGAAACGTCCCTTCTGGGCTACTTGTGTTTGTAAATTCAATTTTCTGGAAGTATGGCCTGGGAAAGAGAGAAAATAGCAATTTCGATATTCTTCATTATCGCAACTGTTTCTTGCCAGCCTTAGCCAAATTTTTCAGGCAAGGGGCTGGAACATGTGTGCTGCTGTCAGCTGTAACGTGTTATGATTACCAGAAACAACTGGATTTTTGCAATCCTAAGTATGACTTGATGATGTGATTAGTTGTTGACTTGTTGCTTCAAAATCATAGCAAGAGACAGGACAAAAACTAATAGCAGCAGAGGAAGGAACTATGGTATATAACAGGCAATCGTTTGTAGAAGATCACAAGGGATGTGTATGCTGGATGATACATTGCAAGTACTTAATCAAGAAGAAACTCTGACCTTACATATTAGTGGGGACACAAGAAAAAATGATGGACCCACACTCACATAAAAAATGCAGGCTCATGTTTGCTTCTTTATCTGCCCAAGAACAGTCTAAATTTGGAAGACGCCAATCCTAATTCTGATAAAGTAAAATGACCATGGTTGCATCAAAGAATCATGCAATCTAGGAAGATTAGGTACGCCAATCCTAGGTTTAGTAAAATCATAGAGCATTTTCTAATTACATTGCTCATTTAAATAGAATCCATCTAGAAAATGGTATCATATTTCAGTACAAGATGTGATTAGGAAAGAAAAATAGATATATTGGCAAGAGATACAAAACTAAGGGTTTCACGATCACATTATTACATAATGTTACTAGGTTTAATTTGGATGACTGACAATATTATTATATGATGGACTTATATCATACCTACAAGATTGTTGTATACATACATAACATGAGTGTATTAGTAGTATCAATGTCACGATCATACTAAAGAATTGCTTCATGATAGGAACCTTCTTGATGGGGATCGGGATTAGGACACAGGTCACCAACCACATACACGAGCATCGAAATCTAGGGCTAGTGCAAACTCACATATATCGTAGCAAATCCATGCCACAATAAACTATTTCATTAATCATCAATATTCCATCTTTCTACAACTATTACAATAGCCTTATTTATAGGCTTTACAAGACTTGGGCACCAAGACTGCTTGGTCCAAAAGTCAACTAATTAGTTATAAAATCACACATAAATAATAAAAGATATCCTAAAACTACCTAACTAAGAAAATAACAATATATCATGAAATAACTAATTAAATGATAAATATCTATCTTGATCCACCCCTATGCTCCTGCATCAGACTCCACTGGTTGGAAAGAATTCGTCCTCGAATTCAAGCCTTTGATTGAGGAAAATCCGAGTAGAATCTTCAATTGCTTCATATTAATTCTGGATCTTTTAGCATCCAATTGAAACCTTCCTTTCCAAATAAAAAGATATTTGGAATATTTCGTTATTCTTAGCTTCTTCTTACTCCCTCTAACAATGCAAATGTTTCTCTCTAGAATCTTCAACCGATTGACAAAATCAACCAAAGTTTTGGCAACCTTCCAAGTGAAAACATTAATGCCCATAAAATCAATAATATCTTCGAAAGTTTTCTCAATTCTCATCTCTTCACTGTTCTTATCAATAAATTGCTTCTCAAAATTGCTTTGAACACCCAAACAATTTTCATTGCAATTTTCACAGTTGCAAGGATCAAATATTGGAGGCAAATCCAAATTTAATAACTTTGATGAATAACAAGATGCACCAAAATTACCAAATCTATTTATACCTTCAAAGACACAATGAGAATAACCGTGCCCCTCTTCACTCGACTCACACAGTGAAGCACAATAATGAAAAGGGCTATCCCCCTCGTACTCCCCGTCGAGACTCCCACGGCTTAGAGTGTCGATGCGAGCTACTCGGTTCAGATAAGGGTTCACGCATCTCTACCCATCAGAACTCTTACCTATCTGGGTTCGAGCTTCGATGCGAGCGACACGTTCCGTAAGTTGCTGTAGCATCCTCCTAATTTCCTCCATGTCGTTGTAGTTGTCAATACGACCCTCCATCCAAAAACCTCCCCGATAAAGCATATCTTGAACCATAGCTCTGATACCAATTGATGGGGATCGGGATCAGGACACAGGTCACCAACCACATACACGAGCACCGAAATCTAAGGCTAATGCAAACTCACATATATCGTAGCAAATCCATGCCACAAATAAACTATTTCATTAATTATCAATATTCCATCTTTCTACAACTATTACAATAGCCTTATTTATAGGCTTTACAAGACTTGGGCACCAAGACTGCTTGGTCCAAAAGTCGACTAATTAATTATAAAATCACACATAAATAATAAAAGATATCCTAAAACTACCTAAATAAGAAAATAACAATATATCATGAAATAACTAATTAAATGATAAATATTTATCTTGATCCACCCCTATGCTCCTGCATCAGACTCCATTGGTTGGAAAGAATTCGTCCTCGAATTCAAGCCTTTGATTGAGGAAAATCCGAGTAGAATCTTCAATTGCTTCATATTAATTCTGGATCTTTTAGCATCCAATTGAAACCTTCCTTTTCAAATAAAAAGATATTTGGAATATTTCGTTATTCTTAGCTTCTTCTTACTCCCTCTAACAATGCAAATGTTTCTCTCTAGAATCTTCAACCGATTGACAAAATCAACCAAAGTTTTGGCAACCTTCCAAGTGAAAACATTAATGCCCATAAAATCAATAATATCTTCGAAAGTTTTCTCAATTCTCATCTCTTCACTGTTCTTATCAATAAATTGCTTCTCAAAATTGCTTTGAACACCCAAACAATTTTCATTGCAATTTTCACAGTTGCAAGGATCAAATATTGGAGGCAAATCCAAATTTAATAACTTTGATGAATAACAAGATGCACCAAAATTACCAAATCTATTTATACCTTCAAAGACACAATGAGAATAACCGTGCCCCTCTTCACTCGACTCACACAGTGAAGCACAATAATGAAAAGGGCTATCCCCCTCGTACTCCCCGTTGAGACTCCCACGGCTTAGAGTGTCGATGCGAGCTACTCGGTTCAGATAAGGGTTCATGCATCTCTACCCGTCAGAACTCTTACCTATCTGGGTTCGAGCTTCGATGCAAGCGACATGTTCCGTAAGTTGCTGTAGCATCCTCCTAATTTCCTCCATGTCGTTGTAGTTGTCAATACGACCCTCCATCCAAAAACCTCCCCGATAAAGCAGATCTTGAACCATAGCTCTGATACCAATTGATGGGGATCGGGATCAGGACACAGGTCACCAACCACATACACGAGCACCGAAATCTAGGGCTAGTGCAAACTCACATATATCGTAGCAAATCCATGCCACAAATAAACTATTTCATTAATTATCAATATTCCATCTTTCTACAACTATTACAATAGCCTTATTTATAGGCTTTACAAGACTTGGGCACCAAGACTGCTTGGTCCAAAAGTCAACTAATTAATTATAAAATCACACATAAATAATAAAAGATATCCTAAAACTACCTAAATAAGAAAATAACAATATATCATGAAATAACTAATTAAATGATAAATATCTATCTTGATCCACCTCTATGCTCCTGCATCAGACTCCATTGGTTGGAAAGAATTCGTCCTCAAATTCAAGCCTTTGATTGAGGAAAATCCGAGTAGAATCTTCAATTGCTTCATATTAATTCTGGATCTTTTAGCATCCAATTGAAACCTTCCTTTTCAAATAAAAAGATATTTGGAATATTTCGTTATTCTTAGCTTCTTCTTACTCCCTCTAACAATGCAAATGTTTCTCTCTAGAATCTTCAACCGATTGACAAAATCAACCAAAGTTTTGGCAACCTTCCAAGTGAAAACATTAATGCCCATAAAATCAATAATATCTTCGAAAGTTTTCTCAATTCTCATCTCTTCACTGTTCTTATCAATAAATTGCTTATCAAAATTGCTTTGAACACCCAAACAATTTTCATTGCAATTTTCACAGTTGCAAGGATCAAATATTGGAGGCAAATCCAAATTTAATAACTATGATGGATAACAAGATACACCAAAATTACCAAATCTATTTATACCTTCAAAGACACAATGAGAATAACCGTGCCCCTCTTCACTCGACTCACACAGCGAAGCGCAATAATGAAAAGGGATATCCCCCTCGTACTCCCCGTCGAGACTTCCACGGCTTAGATTGTTGATGCGAGCTACTCGGTTCAGATAAGGGTTCACGCATCTCTACCCGTCAGAACTCTTACCTATCTGGGTTCGAGCTTCGATGCGAGCGACACGTTCCGTAAGTTGCTGTAGCATCCTCCTAATTTCCTCCATGTCGTTATAGTTGTCAATACGACCCTCCATCCAAAAACCTCCTCAATAAAGCAGATCTTGAACCATAGCTCTGATACCAATTGATGGGGATCGGGATCAGGACACAGGTCACCAACCACATACACGAGCACCGAAATCTAGGGCTAGTGCAAACTCACATATATCGTAGCAAATCCATGCCACAAATAAACTATTTCATTAATTATCAATATTCCATCTTTCTACAACTATTACAATAGCCTTATTTATAGGCTTTACAAGACTTGGGCACCAAGACTGCTTGGTCCAAAAGTCAACTAATTAATTATAAAATCACACATAAATAATAAAAGATATCCTAAAACTACCTAAATAAGAAAATAACAATATATCATGAAATAACTAATTAAATGATAAATATCTATCTTGATCCACCCATATGCTCCTGCATCACTTCTTGCGAGTGGGAGTGCGTGAGTGGGGCCCACCATATACCAAGACAAAAATTCCAAAGACATGTAAGCAGCATAAGCAAAGCAGTACGCAGGAAGCCAACGACTTGGAAGTCAATTCCGTACTGTTTTGTTGTTTTTAATCATTAGAAAAGAAAAACCAACAAAAACGGTTGTCGTTGCGGACCACTTAGACCACCACTACATCAACAACAAACGGTTGTGGCGACGGCAACCGGGTCCAGAAGAAGATCTTGCAAGAGTGGAAGATTCTGGAGAAGCACCTCCCGGACTCCATCTACGTGCGCGCCTACGAGACCTGCATCGACCTCCTCAGGGTCGTAGTCGTTGGAGCCTCCGGCACCCCTACCACGACGCGCTTTTCTTCTTTGACATCGCCTTCCCCTCCAATTACCTGACCCACCCGCACGAGGTCCACTACCACTCATTCGGGCTGAGGCCTAACCCGAACCTCTTCACGAGCGGGTATGTCTGCCTCAGCCTGCTCAACACCTGGCCAGGAAAAGGGGAAGGAGAAGTGGGACCCATCTTTGTCAACGATCCTCCAGGTTCTGGTGTCGATCCAAGGCCTGGTTCTCAACAAGAAGCCCTCCTTCAACGAAGTGGGAGTCAGGAACCGGTTTGGATGGAGGCGTCTCGGGCCTACAACGAGAAAGTCTTCATTTTGACTTGCAAAACGACGTTGTATTTGCTCCGGAGGGCGCCGCTGAATTTCAAGGCTTTCACCGCCGCGTTCTTATATGGGAAGTGGAGCTAAGCTCACTCACCAGAAAATATTTCATTCTAGTACGAACAGAACCCATCTATAAAGTGGGTCTCGTATTTCGGTACGCAAAAGATGTATGTATGAATATAGTCCATACAAATTCTATCAAATATTGATGGAAAAAAGAGAGATAGATAGTCTAAAATATCAATAATATCGACCAAATATTGAGGATAATAATGTTTTTTCGAGTCACGGATATTTCGGAACTTATCCATACACATATCGTATAAATGTCGATAATATCAAAAAATATCAATGTCGATAATTTCGCTCACATTTCAGAAATATTTTGTCAAAATATTGCTATAATATCGAAAATATCGATGTAATGGAAAAAAAAAGGAAGGAAAAAAAAACACAAAGCACACACACAAAGGGGATTCGAATCCCTACCATTCCATTCCTCCAACACCTTAACCATCATGTTGCTTATGTTTTTGTGATAATACGCAAAGAGGAACTTTGTGGTACTAAGTCACTCATGTATCTTACCATGCAATGTATAAAGTTTAAAATATTGTAGTAAATAAATGTATATAAATGATTATGGGGTGTTTAATATTCTTTCATTAATTACTATATTTTCTACACTTGCAGTGTTTGTCAACTCACTATATAATCAACTTAAATAAGTTAAACCTATCATGCAATGCATTTCATTCCAATTTTTTGTGATAAACTAATAGATAATTGACTAAATAAATATCATCCAAAGTTTCAATAAAAATTTATAAGTTTTTCTTACAATTTCCGTGGTTTACCGATATTTCCATTGAAATTTCCGTATTTTTGGACTATCGATATTTCCAATACCCGATATTTTAGACATTGAGTTGAAGGATGTTTCACACCTCAAATGTTATGTATGAGTCATGACATGGAGGGAGATTCTAACTTTAAATATTTTCCAAGACCCACTACTGCACTGCATTTGTTGGTGATATAGTTTAACATTAGGGGATTAGGCTCCAATCCAACCCGTAAAAGCATTTTGAGGATGTTGTTAGGAAACATACCTATCAATACTATTATGTAAAAGAAGAGGCTTTGCTAATCCTTCTTTGTTATAATAAAAAAAATATATTTATCATAATTTTCTCTCTTTATCTTTTTTATTCTATCATTCTCACACGCATAACATATATGTAAGTGTTTCTAATAAGAGTTATTATTTTTATTATTAGAAAATGTTTACAATAAGAGTTAGGGGGGCTAGCTGGCAGCCAATGGTTTGTGATATAATAGGACAAAGTAGGTGAACAACCCACAATTGGAAAGAATGCCAAAACATGTGAAAACTAAAATTAATCAGACAATGTAATGTGATCACTTAAACTGAATTGTCAAAATACATACATACTCACTAGTTATCTAAGTATAAATTATACAGAATTCAGTGTAATGCATAAACTAGTCATCTAAGAATAAAAACTGGTATTATTAAACCCGAATGCCAACGGTGAGTGATCACAAATTTCTTGAATCCCTGTAGTCCAAGAGATCGGGACTATATATAAAATAGCTTAACTTCTATTATTTGGGACTGTTTTCAGATTTTCATAAGGCTAAGGACTTGGAAACTTGCATCTCACAGGGACTTGGAATTCAGTGGAAGTGCTAGACTCATTTGTAATTTTTTTGTTTGTTTATAAGCTCATCTTTCTTTCTTTCTTTGTCATTTCAATTTACTTACGGGGATGGAGGACACTTCAAAAGAAGATATAGATCATCCCAGATGGTTTGACCATCTGCAACCGTTGGACCATCATCAGTTGTGAAGGGTGCATTGGCCCACAACTCTTGATCATCGATCATTGGAACATCATGAGTTGTAATATTATTCATCCCGTGACCGGGGCCGCCCATTTCCATATTGCTTGGAGGAGACTTCTTAACTCCGCTATCATTATAATGATTAAGGTTCGTCTTTCGACTCCTCTTACTCTCAGACCCATCTTCGCCCTGCCAATGAACAAAATTAGCAAAAGTTGCATAATATTACAAACTTAAATATGTATTTGAGTTGTTAATTTGAGTAGTGTTCTCTTCAATACAAATAAAACAAAAAGTATCTATGTTATAATTGTTTGATCTAATTAACTCACTTGTTCCTCTTCTTTTCCTTTCTTCTTGGCTGGGTCTTCTTCGTACATGATATATCTGACGACTTCACGAATAGATCGAAAGGTCCATTTTGCTCCTTCATGCCGGTAACACTGCATGAATCATTTCAGTATCTTTAGAAAATATACCACTAAACTAATTGCATGGGTGAGCAGAGGCAGCACTTCCTCTGCTCTCAACTCAGTATTAATATCTACAATAGAAACCATAACAGAATACACATCGACATCATGAACTATACAAGAACTGCATATATGTAACCAATACAAAAAGTATATAATATGTACTTTTCATGCGTACCAATGAGTGCATAAATGATCATACAAGAACCATATATATTTGATTAGTGTAGTAGAGTTTTTGGGAACATCAATGAACTAATTAAGGCATGATATCTGAACGACAAATCAACTAGTCAAATTACCATGTCAGAATTTCTTCCATTCTCTCTCCTTGTCCGCACAATACTCCAGCCTCCAAGTCTTTGAGAGAAAGAGAACTTCCGTTCGGTCTGAGTATTTGGATTCTGGTTTGCCTCTGGGGGCACCAACTGTAGGCAACCACATACAAAATTTTTTAGTTAAGCAACGATTCTATTAGCAATATAAATACTCTAACTTGTAATTCAACAGCATGTAAGAAACACTACGTAAAACAACATTATAGCTACTGATATTCATGGCACAAGATGAGGGTGGCTAAATGCACTATTAATTAGTGCCTAGTAGTTAAAGGGGCACGAATAATGGTGGTTAAAACTTTTAACAAACGACGTCGTCGTCACTTGAAAATAATAAAAATTACAACAGTCGACACCTTCTCCCTCTCTCTCTCTCTCTCTCTCCTCTCTCTCTCTCTCTCTCTCTCTCTCTCTCTTTTAAAGCTTTATATACCTTCGCAACGTCAAGATTATCCCAATCAAAAGCTTCCGGCAGTTTGAAACGCACTGCAGTTGATTGACCAGCCGGAGTGGTGGGCCTTCGAGTATATGGTTTTGGTTGCTCAGAAGACTGGGCTTTTAATTTCAACTTAAAATCCTGAAAAAAGAAAAAATAATAATAATAAAGAGTTCTGGATATGGTAATCAAGTTAACCACATTATCATACAAGAAACAAACTTACAGCAACACTCTCTTTCACGCTTTTGACGAGTTGGTTGTGCAACTTCTCATTAATTTGAGCACTAGAGCTTTCTAGTGCGCTAGAGTTTGGATAAGCGGCCACTGGCTGGTCTTGCCCAGTGTAGTTGTTGTTTGAGGAGCTAGACATCTTAGAGAGAGAGAGAGAGAGAGAGAGAGAGAGAGAGAGTGATTTGTGAGGGCTAAAGAAGGGAGAAAAGGGGTAGCAAAGCTAAAACAATGGAGGTAAGAGCTCAAATGCACATGGTCTGGATAGGGGGAAGGGCGCCATTTATAGAGACGATTATGGGAGGAGACGTGATTTCTTAAGAGATATGAACGGGAGCAAGGTGGTTCTGGCAATACAACTATTTCTAAGCTTTTTATTATTATTATTTTGTCCAACTGAAAACGACTAACAAATCATTTTTTGAATCCACAATTGCAAAGGAAAACACTTCACAATCCGATAATCCCTTACCGTACCATACCGGTTTTAATTTCCTATACGACTCACGATACCGCACCGATATTGATTTGGCACGGTATGATACGGTACCAACTTTAGTAAACGATAATCTTATACCGTACCATACCGATTTTAATTTCTAACATCGGTAGCGGTACGAGTTCAATACCGTACCGTGCTCACCCCTAGGCTTAGGCCTAACTTAAACTTATAAACTGTAGCTTTTTAGTAGTCTCTTCCAATTTGATGTAAAGAAAACTAGAAGTAAGGTATGAAGCAACAAACTTAATTGAAAACAAGAAGATTAAATTCATGAGCAGCGAACTATACTCACGACTAACAAATCATTTTTTGAATCCACAATTGCAAAGGAAAACACTTTACAATCTAGAGTTTCGCGTTTAGTTATCATTATTGAATGATACCACAAATTACAAGTGCATTCTCAAATAGATAGTGTATTTTAATATGACAGGTTACAGATGTAGCAAAATTCGTTAATGTATCGCATACACGTGTAAAAGGATATGACTATCAACTATTAACATTGGGTTTTAAATAAAGGTATTGTTTGAGGGACGCAAATTTTTTGTTTTTATTTTTATCAAAAGAGAGTAAATTTCATTAATACCATGAGGCTATGATCAAGGTCCAAAATGTCGATGCTATCGGAAATATCTGTAATCCAAAAATACGGAAATTTCGATGGAAATATTGGGATATTATCGATATCAATAAAAATTGAATAAAAACCACAGAAATTGTAAGAAAAACTTGAAATTTTTTATTGAAACTTTGGAGGATGTTTATTTAGACAATTATCTATTAGTTTATCACAAAAAATTGGAAGGAAATGCATTGCATGAGGGGTTTAACTAATTTAAGTTGATTATATAGCGAGCTGATAAACACTGTGAATGTAGAAAATATGTAGTAATTAATGAAAGAAGATTAGACACACCATAATCATTTATATATAATGATTTACTACAATATTTTACACTTCATACATCACATGGTAAGATACATAAGTGACTTATGTCACGGGATGACTTTTTCGGAGTCTTCCTTCGTGCGGCCTTAGACTTGATTGCCTCTCGAACAAGCTAAGTCAGCCTCCTTCCTACAACACAAGATCGAACCAAGCAAGAACAATCACAAGAGCAAGAAAGATAAGAATGCTTAAAAGAGTTTGGGAGAATATATGCTTGTATTGCTACTCAAATGCTTTACAAGTTGTGAGGTGAGGACATACAATGTGACATCCTCCTCATATACTATTCATATCCCACCTACTACTACAGTAGGTGGCTAAGATACAATGTCATCTACCAGCATCTACCAACTATTGTCACCAACCGTAGTCTATCTACTACTGTACAACGAATTTAGACATATGGGCTAAGAGGTCTAGCATGATCAATCAGACGGGTTGGGCCTTGAACATACGGGCCGTGACATTCTCCCCCACCTAATCTGGTGACGTCCTCGTCGCCGCAATAGATCCTTCTCGTTCGAATGCTTCGATAATGTTTTTGTACTTCCACAAATACTCTTCCATTTGACAAAGTACTTAAAGTATCTCGGTACACCTTTGCGTCGCACCTCTCGCTTGGCCATGATGCACTCAACCTCCCTGTCAAATGAAGTCACCATCAAAGATGGAGCTCGTTGAGACTCTCCACGACTTGGCTCCTCGAGGTCAGCATGGTAAGGCTTGAGATTGGTAACATAGAACACCGGATGGATCTTTAATCGGGGTAGTAGTTCCACACGGTAAGCGGCTCTTCCCACGGTTCGGATGATAGGAAATGGGCCTTCATATCTCCTCAACAACGCCTTGTGCAATCTTCTAGTGGACTTGTGTTGAGAGGGGTTGAGATTCATAAAGACCATATTACCTGGTTGGAACACAACATCTCGCTTATGCTTGTCCGCCCATTTCTTCATCTTCCGAGTTGCCTTTTTCAATTGACCATGAGCCAGCTCATTAGTCACCTGCCACTCCTTGGCCGTCTTGTATGCAGCTGGGCTACTTTCAGTGTAGCCTGACACCACTGTGTTCGGTGTCATAGGTTGTTGTCCCGTTGCCAACTCAAAAGGACTTGACCCTGTTGACTCTCACCGCTGCAAGTTGTACGAGAACTGAGCAACATCCTACAGCTTTGCCCAATCTCGCTGGTTGGCACTCCCATAGTGCCTCAGATTGTCCCATATTGGAACATAGATCTTTTTCCCTGTTGCATAAAGAGCACCATCATCAAGCCAAAATCTTCTTGTCCTCCCATCTTTGACAAGCTCTAACAGACTTTTGGCTTGGGGTTCATGCAACAAGCCCTCTCGTATCCTCTGCTCCGTGTCATTGAGCTTCCAACTCTCAAAAGCCAATGGGGGTCCATCCTGCATGCATAAACCACCAATAGAAAAATCTGATGCATCATTGTGTACCTTAAAATGTTTGCTAAGATCGGGTAGTCTCAGCACTGGTTCCTCCATAGGTGCCCTCTTCAACTTCTCGAAGGCATGACCCACCTCTCTCCTAGGTGGTAAGGTTTTGGCTAGCTCATTGGGTATGACATTTGCAAACTCCTTAAGGACTGCCTCCACCGCTTTCGGGACTGGTTTGACTTCCTTCTCAACTTTGTCCATCTTCATAGTTGCAAGGAACGTCGGTTCGCCCTTCTTCCAAGACTAGGAAAGTTGCATGGCTGACAAGAGCTTCGACTCGTCTTGTTAGCTCACCACTGGCACCATGCATGACATTGCTCCTCCCTGTGCAATGCACATAGTATTGTAAAATGGAATGAGAAATGCTTTTACCTCGTCCATGAACTCCATTCCTAACATGACATTGTAGTCATCCATCGGGATCAAGAAGAAGTCAGCTACTTCCTTCCAAGCAGCAATATGTAGCGCCACACCACGAGCTACTCCATCAATTGGTTTGGCAGTTGAATTCACCATCTTCATACTGCCTGCTTCCTCCGAGACTCGACACCCAAGTCTCTTTGCTTCTTGCACAGAGATAAAGTTGTGCGAGACACCTGTATCTACCAGGCAACAAGTTGTCTTGCCATTCACCATGGCGTCGACGAACATCACTCATTTAGCTTAAACCTGTGGTTGAGCGACTTTGACATGTATGTAACAACCCCGACTCCAAATTTAATTGCCTATTTAAAATATTTAACTGAAATTACGATTTTACCCTTGGGGTAGGGGTATTTTGGTCATTTTCTTATCTAGTAGGATTTTGGGACAACGAGTGATATGGTTACGTAGGTCGTACTGAGACGAGTCCGTAGACACATGGTAGACTTGAATCGTAGTTGTAATGAAGAAATGGCGACTAAAATAAGTCCAATGGCAAACTTGTAAATATTTCAAAGTTGGTTTTAAAAATATCAGATTTCCTCTCTCTCTCTCTCTCTCTCTCTCTCTCTCTCTCTCCGATTCTCTCAGCTCCAGCCACGGCCAGGGCCGGGACCGGTCCTGATCGACTCCTCTCAAAGCCCTAAACCCGAACCACCAGTTTTCCCGGCTGAAAACCTCGAATACCGGCCACATTTCGACTGGTTCAATCAAAAAATTTCTCGTCATTGCGCCACTGCCACAGTTGCCCAATCCCGGTGAAACAAGTAAGGTTTTGTTTGTGCCTAATAAAACACGGTCATGAACTAATTGAACGGACTTCCCTTCGGCCTTGGCGCCTACCGTTTCGTCAAGTATTTCGCCTTCCTAAGAGCAAAAGAAAAGCTGCAAAGGCAGAATCCCCTCGGGCTCGCGACCGCAGTTTTGAAGATCGAGGCCGAAGGCCGCAAAAGACACGTTCTGAAAAAGCTGTGGTTGAATCGCCACGTGGCCTTAGGGCCCCACGCTCCATTTAATGAAAGTAATGCCTCTGACTTCGCAGCAAAACACACTAGTCACAAGAAGCATTCAATGCACGAGGGAAGTGACTGAAGTCAGGATTTGGTGATGGGAATCAGGGTGGTTAGGTGCAGACATTCTCACAAGTAATCTTACGACTTAGGGTCAGATCATCAACCACCAGTTCAGGGCATTAAATGCGTTCCCACGGCCAAAGGGGCAGAACCCATGATCAGGGCGATGGCCGAGATTTGCCGAGATTTATGGGGGTCACACCACCATGCTTCTCAACCCTAGACCACCATGCTTCACGATCCCAAATGCCGATTTGACTACCCACTTGCCCGGCCAGGCTCCACCACGCAGGTCGTGTCAGCCTCGAATGTCCCTCCAGGACTCCTATAAATGCTAAGCTCAGGACTACATTCAAAGGGTTCAAACACCAAAACCAAAAGCCTCCCACGGAGCAAATTATATTTTCCTGTAATGCACTTTCAATACCTTTATTTGCTTTCCTAGGAGTAGTGGTAGACTGTAAGGAAAATCCATTCATCAATATATCATACGACCTTTGATTTTCACGACACCGGAGCACCATCTCTGTTATCGCCTCACTTACCCCATATATCATACGACCGTCGCTCTCTGAGTAACGCGCCGGACCACCTCCTAAAACCCACCACCGACCCCACCACTAAACGGTCTTGTAGCTCAGGCCGTGAACCTGATGGCCGAGATTCGTTCCTCACTCGGCCTTGTTTGATTAGGAGTCGAACGCAAAACAGGCGCAACACTTAAACCATATTCTAACC